GGTATTATTTTACCGCTTATATAAAATTTATTGTCCAATCAGAAAATAATATAAATCACATGATATAATTAAATCACATGATAGGGATCGCCAAATATCAGAATCCTTTTTTTTTTATATTTTTATATTTTTTATTTATTTTTTTATATTTCTTCTCTATTTTTATTATATTTTTTATTCTTTTTTTCTCTAACCCTCTGAATAATTCATTTTATTTTTATATATTTTTTTATTTTATTTTTAAGATTAGCTTTTTTTAAACCTTAAAAACTAACTGATAAATTAAATTCTTTCTTTTTAGAATACATAGACTACTTTGAAAGAATTTATTAACATTTTTTCTTCTTTTTTTTAGAATCAGCTTTCTTTGAATCTTAAGAATTAACAGGTAAGTTGAATTTTTTCTTTTTAAAATAAACAGGCTTTTATAAAAATATTTACTAATATTCTTTTCTTCTCTTTATAAAACTGAATTTTTTGAATCTTAAGAACTAATCAGTAAGTTAAATTCCTTCTTTTTAAGATAAACAGGTTTTTTTAAGAATATTTACTAATGTTCTTTTCTTCTCTTTTTTAAGACTAGTTTTTTTTAAACTTTAGGAATCAACCGGTAAGTTAAATTTCTTTTTCTTAGAATAGACAAGTTTCTTTAAAAATACTATTAACATTTTTATTATTCTTTTATAAGACTAATTCTTTTTAAATTAATATTTATTTTTTAAAATTTTTATTGTATCAAAAAAAAAAAAAATCATTATAAATAAATTTGTTAAAAAATTATCATTTATATATATATTTATAAAATTTTCTTTATATATTATAATACTAGTAAAATCAGTATAACAAGATTTTTTTAATATAAAAAAAATTTATACTATATCAAAAATTCATTGTATTATGAAATTTGTTATATTAAAATTTGTTATATTAAGAGTTATTATACTTTTTATTATTTAAAAATTTTAATTTCTTAATTAATAATATCTTATAAAATATTAAATTTATAAACTTTAATTATAATTTTTAATAATTTATAATATATAATAGGTATCAAAAGAAATACAAATATAATTGATTACCTTTAAAAAGCTATAACTCATCAATATTATACTTATTTTAAAGCCCAAATCTTGAAGAATATTATAATAATTTTTTTTATTAATATATGATAGCTAAAAGTAAAGTTATTGAAATCCTATTAGTATAGTATATTTTATCTGATTTTGAGATATATTTTTAGGTTTCTGATATTCTTATAGAAGCATTAGTAACTCATTTAAAAGTATATCCTATACAGTTACTACTTAGATTTAAATATTTATAATAATTATATCTGCAGTAATAAACACACTAGATCTTATTGAATACTATTTTTAATATAAAAATAAAGATTTAAAGAACCTTTGATAGAACTTAGTGCTATGAATACTCTTATATTAAAAGATCACAATAATTTAAATTAATCAAATAATTTAATTAGAATAAAAATTGTGAAAAAATATTTTTATGAAATGGATATTGCTAAAAAGAAAATGATCTGTATAGCTATATACATATATAATATAAAATATAATAAATAAAAAATTCTGATTTTTAATAAAAATGATTTATTTATTTATTTTTATTAATAATGTGATACTGTTATAATGATATATAAAAATTAAATATATATACTGTAAATGTAAAAATAAAAGTAAAATAAAAAACAAAATTATAATTATCCCTTGTAGCTTTATTTGAGTTGAACAATCACTGAAAAATCTTTCCTACTAACTAAGAGATCTATATCTAATAATTAAGTATTCAACAGGAAATTCAAATGAAATTGTTCATACTTGTTAAAAAATCAGATCAAGTGAAATCAAATTTTAAAGCTAAGCAAGTTCAGTTTTTTCAAAAGTTAAAATTCTTAGTAGGAAGTTTAGATCTTGGTGAACTTTTAATTTTGCCATGATGTCTTTTGTGCCTGTCTAAAATCTCTTTGCTTTTTTCTACCTATGATATCTGCATATCTATTAATCCAAATTTTATTATAAAAGAAGAATACAATAAAATCAGCAGAGCAAATCAGTATATTTGTCAAATTTATAGAAGAAAAATAGCTTTTTAAGAAGATGAAATAAAGATGATAGAAAAATTCTTTTGATATAAAGATGAAAGAATCTATATTAAAATGTAGATCAAAATATTATAAAATAGTCTGTTTAATATTTAAGAAAAGGATTATTCTTTCTTCATTTTTTCCTAATTTTGATAAAATATAGGATTCTACAAATGCAATTATAGAAGAGTGAATCCTGTGATTGTTATCCTTTCTAGATAGGTATATCTATAAGTGATGTTGATCTTCATCTTTATAGTAATAAGAGAGACATTTCCAATTTTTATAAATGTCTAATCTTCAAAGATCTAAGTTGGACAGGATAGGTAGCTTATTTAAAATATTTTTAATTTTAAAGGTCTTTTTCTTTTTTTATACGTAAGAAGTAATAATGATAGAATTTTTCTCTACAACATTCATAAAACTTATAAAACTATTTTAGTAAAAGTCTAAAATATTAAAGAGTTCAAAAAATTGTGAATTTTTATTTAGATCTAAGAATAAAAAGAACTGAAATAAAGTATTTAGTTCTTTTCAGAATTTTCTTGAGAAAGACTTAATTGAAATGTCATCTATATTTAAATATAATTGAAGTTTCTCAAAAGCAGTGTTATTAAGACTTAGAAATAGTTTTAAGAAATTCTTTTTTATTAATTTATTAGCCATTTCATTATATTCTGAATATTTTTTTACTTTGAACATCTTAATTTAGAGTTAAAAGTCTTTGCAGATCTATTTCAATAAGATCTAAACTGTATAATTAGAAATCTTTTCTTTAGCTCTGGTAGTGAGACAGTTCTCACTAATAAAGTTATTGAAACTATTTATAATAGCTTGACTATCTAAAAAAACTGAAACAATAATTTTAGGAATAGACAATAATAGTGATAAATAAAGCAAAAAATTCTGCTCTTATTGATGATGGTAAGTTTATAATAGCAGCCTAAAAAGAAACTCTATTATTATCTTCTAAGTTCAGGCAGATTCAATGATTTGATTTTTATATATCGAGTTATAAATTTTAAATTTATATGCTTTTATTAATTAATCAGGAGGTTATCCCATAATTCTATAACCTTTAATAGGATGGTCTTTCTTAGCCATTTTTAAAACTATGAGTTTATTAACTTTTTAATTGTAAACACATGTAATGTTGATAATTAGTAAAAATTTTACTTAAGTTTTAAGAGGATTCTGACAAAAATTTATAAGAAGTAGTCTATTAATATCACATCCTAGACACAATTTGATCAAATTTTTATTGTAGAAATCATCTAAAAGAGGATAATATCTATTTTGACATAATGTTATATAATAGAAGTATTTTATTTTTTAAATTACTTAACAGATTTTCTAATGATTATGCGATTTAGCAGAAAATAATAAGCTATTTCAAATTTCTTTTTTCTGTTTACATCTATACTAAATTCTATATAATTATTATTACAAAGGGTGATCACAGATATCTGAACGATAAGTATTTTTTGTTTATTCATTTTGTTTACATGTTTACATATATTTCTAATTTAAGCATTTGTTTAGGATATAAATGGATATCGATCACAATAATAATAAATAATTTTCTTTCGAACAAAAATGGTTAAAATAAAAGAATTAAATGTTGAACAATATGGAGCAATTCTTTATGGCCACAAACAAGGTAATTCATATCAAAAAATTGCTGACATCGTTCAATGTGGTAAAATAACTGTCTATGATGCGATAAAACGTTTTAAAGAAGCTGGTTCTGCAATACTGAAAAAACGTTGTGGTCTGAAGCCACTTTTTAATTCAAATGCACAATCTTCACTCAAAAATATTGTTACACAAAATTCGAAGCATTGTCGCTTTACCACTCAAAAATTCAAAAATTATGGACTAAAAAAAAAAAGAAAGTTTCAACTGTTACAATTTGTCAGACTCTTAAAAAGTCAGTTTATGTTCATGTGTTGCCCACTCTAAACCATTAATTTCTGAAAATAATAAAGAAAAAAGATTGGATTAGGTATTGGAACGAGAAGATTGGACAATTGCAAAATGGAAGAAAGTTGTATGGTCTGATGAATCAACATTTAGCCAATTTTCACAAAGTCGTAGCTTACGTGTGTAGCGTATACCAGAAGAAGAATTTGACCCTTCTTGTTTAACTGCTACAGTAAAGTACAGTCCCAGTCAAATGTTTTGGGGATGCTTTTCGTGGTATGGGCTAGGACCTCTTGTTCTTCTTCACGAAATTGTAATAGGACAAAGATATGCAAAAGTGTTACAGAGGCATGCTATTCCTTCAATTTACAAATTAGTTCCTCGCAAACAAGGAATTTTTCAAGAGGATAATGCTTCACCTCATCGAGCAAAGATTGCCGCTGATATTTATAACGCCTCTAAGATTTCTGTATTACTCTGGCCTGCACAAAGCCCTGATTTAAATTCTATTGAAAATATTTAGAATGAAGTTGATAAGAAACTTCGTAACTTATCTAATCAACCTAAAAATGTGGAAGATTTAGAACATAAGGTAAAATATGCTTGGCGTTCAATTCCACTTGAGTATATTCAAAATTTGGTTGAAAGTATACCCCATCGCATTCAAGCATGTATAGCAGCTGAAGGTGGTTCAACAAAGTATTAGTTTTTATTTTTTTTTAATAAAATAAATAAGAAATATTTTGAACAAATAAATTTTTTGCTTTTTCTAAAAAAAAAGTTAATATAATAAGTAAATTCAAATAGTTTAATTAATCATTCGGGTACCCGTGATCAGTGTTGTCATGAGACATTGATGGGATACTGATGGGACATAGATGGGACAGATAGGACATTTGGGATATAGTGTGGGACAGGTTGGGACATATAGCTAGGACATATAACTGGGACAACAAATCTCTGAGACATTAAAAATATACATCACTGCCCGTGATCACCCTCTGTACTATAACTATTATTAAAAAAGACATGTCTAAATTTGTCTATAACTATTTTACTATTACTATTTTCTAGAATTAATTTGACAACTAAATTATATAATATAGGATGTTTTTTAGATCTATCAAAACTTTCGTATATAGATCTATGTAAATGTCTCTCCAGTTAAGCAAAAGGGTATTAGTCTTGTCTACAAATTAATCAAGATATATCAGTTCAAATTTAGATGTGGTGAGAAAGCATTTTTCTAGATCTTTAAATAGGATAAAAGAGTATAATAGGATAACCCTTTCAGCTATTCTATTTACAAGCAAAGAATTAGCACTAAATGATATATTTATATTGTCATATTTCAGAAGGCTTATAGTAGTTCTAATACTATTTAAATGAGAATATTTGTCAAATTTTCTATTTCAGATAGAGAGAGATGATTTGTATAAGGAAAATCTTGATTGAAGTTGAAATAGTTTAATTTTTGCTACTATATTATAAATTGATTTAGAATTAAATTAATAAAAAATAGCTATTGATATTACTTTAAGTTGTTAATTCTATAAATCATTAAGGTTATAGAATATACTATCTTTAAAAATACAATCAGGAGAGTAGCTATATATAATAAGAATTATGTCTCTGATAGGAAAAGTAAGAGTGTGACATTCTTTAAAGAAAAGAGATATAGTTTGCATCCTATATTCTAAAACTGAAAACAGTATCATATTTAAATGTAAATTAGCTATTTATCAGTAAGGGTTTTATTTTTTAGATTAGCACAAAAATTATTAATATAATTTTAGAGTTATTTCTTTACAAATTGGTAAATATGAAATATTGATCTAAACTTTTAAAAATCTAACTGAATCTAGTTTAGGTTTAATTTGAATTGAATTTGAGTCAAATCTTAAGGAAGTTAGTGCATTTGAGAAGATGGAATTGGTAAGTAACTATGATTTATTTTTGTTGATAGCAGTTTTTGTTATAATATAAAATTCATCAGCTATTACTAAAATATCTTCTAAATCTTTTGAATTGACAATCCAATTTAAATCATCTATAAAAGCTAACACTGATATTTGAATTGAAATAGAATTTCTAATTAAGAATCTGATGTCATTAATCTAAGAATGTTATATAGTGTAACCTTTCTTCAGCCTTTGGACTTCACATAAAAGTAGGTCAAAGTAAATTTATTACAGTAATGAAAAAATTACTTCATCTTAATCTAAACCAATTTTTACATCATAATAATCTAAAAGACCTTTCTTAGTAAAGATTGTATTTTTTCTATTAGTAAATAAGTTTATTAAGCATGAAATACAATATTCTGATATTTTGATATGTCTTAACGCAAGTGTAAGTAGATTTAAGTCAACTCTATTATATGCTTTAAAAATGTTTTAAAGAAGAATTCATCTCTTTTTAGTATTCTGTTACATCTTCAATTAATAACTTTATAATTTTTATAAGGTCTTTAATAAATCCTCCTAGAAGACTAACAAAATTGTTAACTCTGAATATGTTATATTTAGCTATGATCTTTGATAGTCAATTTGTAATAATTTTAACAAAAGCTTTATAAGCGCATTCAAGTAAAGTAATTAAATGAGTCTTGGCAATATTATATTCTTAGTCTATAGATTTAAGTATAAAATATATATGCACAATTTTTCATTCTGAGAAAATATCATCAAATATGAAATATTTTTTGATTAGATCCTAGAAAAACGATTACATTAGTGATCTAAGATGTTTTAAAAATTTGTTGTGTATTACTGAAGAACCTGATGCTTTGTTATTTAAAAGTTACACTAGTACTTTTAATCATTCTTTTAAAGTAGGTGATTGTATAATATTGTTGAAATATAAATCTAAAATGTTTAGTTTTAATTGGTATTGATCTACCTATCTTCTAAGGGTATCATAATCTTTAA